CAGAACTTGATTCCCAAGTGCACGTTCACGAATTACAACAAATACGATGAAAAATTGTCAAATACTTGTAGAAAAATTAGAAAAGAATAAAAATGATGATAAAAGCGAGAAATATAACGTGATAAGTCTCTTTACCTATACTCCGTAGCCACCTTTTCCCTTCAGATCGTTTTTGACATAATTCTATCGAATGTCTTTGTTCGTGTGGTGTGCACTGAAAATGAGGAAAGCAGGTCACCTGAACCGGTTCCGAGCACCAACCGTCGTCACTCGAAGAAGGTCAATAAATTCCACAAAAGTCGACTGATTCCCCTCAAATTGCCACCAGCAAGAGCGAATAGTAAACACTTACCCGTTCGAACGCAACAGTTACCAAATTCCGCCATGACGACGGACGCTTCGTTTTGTCATGCATTCTGGCTTTGAAGTCATGCTGATTGCGAACGACCTTACCACGGGATTCAAATATCAAAGCGCATCTGATCAAATGAGTGACTCTGCCGGGGGATCGTTAGAAGGGTTCTTGCTATTGCTCTATATTGCAAAAAAACACCGTCCGGGGAGTCAGTGCGTGTAATATTACCGGAAACCTCTGTAATTTGAATCCCGTACTGAGGGCCGTGTCGCATTAGAGCGAATTATAGTTTTCAAGTTTTCGACACTTAAAAATAAATTTAGCATTTTCCAAATTTTGGTAGAGGTCGCATCAAACTAATATTCTTCGACAAAAACCTCACAGTTTGATTCAAAAGTCAATCACAAACCCATTTCGTTATAAAAAAGGAATTCAAAAGATCGCACGCCAATCAGCACAACGCAGGAACGGATCTTTTTTTTCCGAGCTGATCTTTTGCGTTTTGGTTGACGCTTACGCTTCTTATGCTGGCTTCAATACTTGTGATGGAAGGAGAATTTCACGTTGAAGCCACGTGTTATCCACATTGCCGCCAGCAGCTGGTTCCAGGATAGAGTAAAAATTTTACTAAAAGCGGTGCTCAAATGCCTCGTTCCCTCGGAAGAGAAGGGGTCAGATGGACGAGGAAAAAAAAATCCTGCCATCGTGCGCCAAACTAAACGAGCGATCTATGAATTTTTTTCTCACTGAAATTTTATCCAGACATGTCTTGCACAACATGACAGCTAAATGGTTAAAATAACATTATTGTTTGTTTTTGCTAAAATTTGGGAGCAATTCGGAATTTGTGCTCGAACGGGTAGATATTCGCTATTAGCTCTTACTGGTGGCAATTTGAGGGGAATCAGTCGACTTTTGTTGAATTTAATGGCCTTTGAGTCGTTAAAGTCGTCAAACAGTAGCGTTAAGAGACCGGAAGCGACCAGGCAGCTACGGAGTAAACGCAAGGAGACTTAACATCTTATATTTCTCGATTTTATTATAATTTTATGTTTTTCTATTTTTTTTAATTGATTTTCATTTTTTTTTGTTTTGTTTTCTTTTGTTTGTTTGTTTTTTTTTACGGCACATGTTTACGCTTAAAATTCATTCTTACGTTATAAGGTATTCCTGTTAATGCAAAAATCATCCACATTACGCTTGGAACGCCTGTGGTCCAACACATGCGGAATTCTGAGAAGAAGCAGAAAGCAAAACAAACGCGAGCAAGCAGACAGTCAATAAGTATGCTAATCACTCATTGACAATTAATGAATTGAAAAGGCCTGAAGTAGTAGTCGTGGTTACAGTAGCCCTTTTACCCATGGGTAAATGGCGTTTGCCCACGGGCAAGGACGTTTTTGTGTGTAGCCGCTTTCCCCAGACCGAAACTGCCCAAGGTTATTTCCATGGATACATCAAAAAGAAAAAAAGAACCTCCCATGACAGTTCCTGAATTGAAAAGTACGGTTTATCTGCTCCCTGAGGTGGCTTGGCCAATCATAAAGCAGAATGTAGCTAATACAGGAAATCGCCTGCAGTGTTTTGAGGTGACCTCCGATGCGCTTGGCTAATTTCGTGCCTTCTTCGGTGTCTTCTCGCAAAAAAACTGCTGGACTGTTATATTTATGGAGGACTGTCGTATAATGAGCAGGAGAATCACCGAAATTAAGCTTAACAGATCTCGATTCGTAACATCCATGTTGCTCTGTACTTTTCCTGCCAATTTGTCAGGTCAGTGAACTCATATCTATTTATATTTGACCCTGAGGGGAGTCTTTTACTGTGTAACCGCATCCCCAAGGGTAATATGAAACCTGAGCTTAACCAAACCTAAGCCATGTACCCTCCGTAAGGCCCCAAACCTAAGGTGTGTGTAACCACCACTAGTGTTTCGGAGTACAGCACCCTCACCTTTATAATGACATGAGAAATTCTCTAAGCGAAATGACTTGCAGATGTCCTTCTAGCCGGATGTCAACTACATGACAACTGGAATTATGGATAGATCGCACCATGATTAGATCGCTCCCAGTTAGATCGTTCCAACCAAAAGTTAGATCGCTCCACTCGAAAGTTAGATTGCCTTATCAAACAAGTGACTTCGCTCCCAACATAAGTTACTTCGCTCCATGTAGAAAACTAAGGTAAAGGTAACAAAACTAAGGTATCTAAATTGATAGTTCATTAAATGAAGTACATATCTTACCGAACAATCGATTAATATCGCTCGCGCGCGCTTGACATAAATCCGAGCTACGCAGAAAGTACAAATAAAGCCTCATGCAAGGAACTCACCAAGTGTAATCTACTTTATTCAGTAAAGATAGCGGATATCAGTTTCCTTACATCAAACAGCAAAAAAAGCCACACTGGATAGTATTGATATTTGAATGATCTTTTTCAGTACACTTCCGACTATAACGTTATAATTTATTTCACGATCATTTATTCCATCATCGATATACATCATACATCGGTAGCTCGATGGCTAATCTGAAGGACAGAGTGAGTACGATGTACTTGAATCGTCCCAAGACTCATCATCACCTACAAACTTTAAAGATCATCGGTAAGTAATACAACATGGAGCGAAATAACTAATGTTGGTAGCGAAGTAACTTATTTGATGGAGCGATCTAACTTCCGCGTGGAGCGATCTAACTTTTGGTTGGAGCGATCTAACCGGATATACACAGCTGCATTGAAGCTGTAGCGGTGGGGGAGAGGGGGAAGGGAAAAAAAAAAAAAGAAACAATCTCCCAAGCGAAATGAGGGTTAAATTCGTTCGAAGATCAAACCTCAATTCTTTTTGTATTTCTAAACTCAATCAACTTTCGCGCGGGAGCCTCACATTTCGTGAATCACGTGCGAGGAGTCGCGAGGCTCTCTATCCACGCACGCAAGTCAGCGCGTCTTATCGCTGGCTCTCATCTGAAATTTTTGTTTGGCGAACCTTGATCGTAGAAAATGATTCAGCCATGTTTGTTGTGAGTAGTATACGGAGGTCTATGTCTACACTCATTTTTGTTCTTTTTGTGGTATTAGGATGTTTCGTTTCGCTTTCAAACCAGTGTGACAAGAATAGCGACTGTAAAAATGGCTACTGTAGAGCGGGTATGTGTATTTGCAATCCAGGATGGTGGGGAAATCTTTGCCAGTTTTGTCGCCTCAGGTAAGATGCTATGTTCTTGAGTTGTTTGTCCATTATATCAGCTTCGATTTCCTTGATTTATTACCTAGAATTGGTCATTTTAAAATCACGTATATTTAAGTATTACACTATATGTGCGACGCTTTGTGTTGGAAAATCTGTGTTGCTGTTATTGATTAGTCTGTCGCCTCAAAGAAAGTGCTATTTTGGTTCAACTGTATGCTTATGTAATATTATGTACTGTCAGCTGTGCAGAGATGAATTCTTTGGAGTCTTAAATCTAAGAAAGTCACTTTTCGAGTTTGCAATTCTTGATTTACACCTCTCCCCAAGCCAAAAAAAAGGAGGTCGTCACAACCTTTTATGGTAAAGTTGTGTTGAAACATGGTTGTTAATTGATTAGTATTAAAATTTTCCTGAATTTTCTCTTAAACGGAAATGTGTTTGTTTAAAAATTAGTGAAAGCAAGTCGAAAGTTAATAACTTTTTTTTAAAGATGAATTATTCTTAATCTTGGATTCATGCAGGAAGTTTTCTCTAACTAAGAAATCCCGATTTCAGATAGGCTGACAAAAACAACCGTGTGTCAACACGATTCGTCGGCAAAAACTTATATTGACATCGATGGATGGTTTGTTTTAAGTTGACTTCGCTTTGTGATGTTTGTATGTTCTTGTTAGTGTGTACAGTGGTTTTTTGAGGGCTAAAAAATAAAATACAAACCTTCATGAAATTTGTTAGACATAATTGCAAGATTCCTTTTGATTTTGAAAGATGCATTTGTTAACTGTTATTTTCATTAAAGGAGACATTTACTGCATATGTTTTGGTCCAAATGCAAACCAGTCAG